TGTTATAGTTGTTACCTTTAATAATAGCAATGTTTATGTGAATAGAGAGTTAAAATGTTGTGTGGTATGTATAGATGCACAGGGTAATGACCTTGGTTTTTTTATGCACAGGGTAATGACCTTGGCTTTTTTTAATAATAGCAATTTCATCTATTCGCTCACGCGGGACCATGTAAGCTTTTATTGTGGTCATCGCAGCTTCTAACTCATCAATTCTCTTATGGTCCTCTAGTGCACTTAGTATGGTCACCATGTTTAGTTTTTCACTTAATATGTCTTGCCCGTGGTTTGATACCAACTGTCACAAACTATACTTTTTTTGCTTTAGTAAGCAATATTCTATGTGGTGGTTGAATGGACACTCTCACATAGGCTAGCCAATAACTTGATTATATATGAAAAAACATCAATAATAGCCACAAATTAGTTTAGGGAAACATAATATCACAATCATAAGGCATAACGAATGCTATATATGCAACTACTAGAGCCATATCAAGAAAAAAGTTTTATTAAAATCAAGATAACTATAAAGGGATGAAGACGACATTGTTGGGTCATAGAAGTAGCCCTAGACGGTTAGCTACTAACATACCTTTATTAGTGAGATAGCTCAATAATCCATCGACCGCTTATCCTCTATAAAGAACTAACGAGCTTTTACAAGAATATCACTAAGAATCGTTACAAGACATGAGATGGGGACATTCTTTCCCTAAAGGGTCTTCCCCCTAAAGACTTAACAACCATTTCCAAATACAACACCAAGTGCCATTATAATGTTTAAAAGGGGGACATTTCCTCTAAAGGTACAAAGGACTTAATTTGCTAAATAGTTCTACCTTGTCATGGCTTAATACAAGGTTAGCTCATGACATTAAGGATAATGAATGTTAAGTGTCTATGGTTTTAGTTAGGCTTGTATTGTCTTATCTTTGCTCCATCTACGTGATGAATGCTAAATCTGTGCTTCCTATGGCATATACAGCTGATGTGATTGGGATTTCAATTTCCACTATTTGGTTTGGTTATGGGGTTCCAAGCCAAATATTTGCCCAACTTTGGTGGACTTTTTAAAATTTTTAAGCCTTTTTTTCATCATTTCCATTTTTTTGTTTTATTTGTGGTTGGGTGCTTTTTGGGTTTAGAAGAAAATGTTGATGCTTTTATTTATTTTTACTTGCTTCAGTTTATTACAAATGCTTCACTTTGAATGTTTTCTCTAAAGTTTCTTTCTTCTTTTGTTTCTTACATTTGTAGTTAGTGCTTTGTTTTAGGTTGAAATTGTTCTCTAGCATTTTCATGTGGTTTGTGCCTTTGTCTTTATTTGCTTAGCACATTTGTCTCCTTTGCAAATGCCCATATTTGTTTCTTCGTGTTTTCATTCAATTTTTCCCTTATTTTATGCAGCATTGTTTCATTACTATTTGGGGTTTTTTAGTTTGAAAACAATGATGGCCAATCCATTAATCAAAAAATTTTTAAAGAAACCTAACTGTCCTGAGTGTAGTGCACAGACAAAATTCTAGTATTATTATAGTTTCGAGCTGTTGTCGAATTTACCATGCAAGTGCATGTATCGTTACCAAGTATTATAATAGAAAGTATAGTATTAATCCCCTGACAAATTGCACCAAAATCTGTTGCTAACTATTAAAATTACACAACTCAATCTTACCCAAAGAACCAATTTTTAAAATTACTGAAAACTGAAACAACTAAAACTAATAACAAGAATCACAAATTAACTAAATAAACTCAATCAAACAAAAGCCTAAAACCACAATATCCCCTCAACTTCATTTGAATCTCTTATTCTCTCTCTTGACTTATTAGACAACTAAGTTGTTAGCCCAGTGCTCTAATGATTTTATAAGTCTCTTCCGATGTTCTTATAAAAATATCTCTTTTAACCAATCTACTCTATTCCTATGTAAGTAGCAATAAAGAAAGACTCATTAAGCTTAGACTCTATTAAAGCCACATATGACATGTAAGTGTATTCTTACCCTACACACAAATCAAATCAATTATCTCATGGAATTGAAATTGAATATATGCTATTTCATCCAAGGCTTACACTAAACTCCCTTTTTTAGTTCTATTTAAGTTACTCTATATATCAAATTAGTGATCAAGGAATCAAACTCACAAGACTAAAATAAACAACTCAAACACTATTAATCATAGGCAAGAAAAAGCATTAAAAAATCAAACTACAAGTTGGGATCAATTGCAATTCTAGATAAGAAATTTAATTTCCCATCACTATTAAAAACATCATCCAAAAAAGTTTAACAATTAACATAAAATAAGGAAAATATACGCAGAACAAAAGTAGAAAAGAAAAACTAAGATTTGTCAAGTCTTTGATCTTCAATCCTCAAGAGTTTTTCCTCGGTTTCTTGCTTACTTGATGACTTTTTTTCTTCAAAGAAAATCTATCTTAATTGTTACCTTTAAGTAGTCTAAAAAGGCCTTTAAATAGAGCTCACAATCCTACTCAAAATCAACTCCTAGATTTGATGCTTGGATAAGCTATCATGTCAACTCCTTTTCCCCAACATCGCAACACCCAAGGTTCTATTTTTTTTTTGTTTCCTTCTTTTAACACTATGAGGTTTTTTCTTTTTCTCTACGGTACTCAGCTTTCCATTTTGTTGGCACATGCACAATAACTATATGTTATAAAGTTATTTTGTCACATCTTAAGCGCCTCCTTTGCCACCGCAATGCTCAGCTCTCTATTTTGTTGGCCTGTGCACTCCTCTTCATAGTGCAATAACGCTCTTGCATCCATGGCCGAAGTGCTTAATGTCTTGTCTTGTCTTGTCTTCTCTACTACACTCCTTCAAATTTTGAAGCAATTTTCTCCTTCTTTCAAGCTGAACTAGATAAAGTTGTAAACATGAAAGTTGTATCCTTGTCTTTTATCTTTTCATTGGCTCAAGAATCATGTTAGTTGGCCTTCTAGAATGAGAATTATGCTCAAAATACTAGAGCATGCACAATAAAAGCATAGACCTTTTATACACTCTTCTTTACCAATTGAAGCCCTTTCCAGTTGCACACTTACAAAAGCAACAAACTAACTCAATAATAACTACTAAAAACAAATTATCATCAAACTAAAATAAATTAACTTAAATTAAATCAATCAAACCTGATTTACTAAATTAAGACAAATGAATAAAAATATCTAATTTCTAAATTAAATCTCAAGAACTTAATCAATTTAATACTTAAAATGTAATAAAATAACTTTATAATATAAAGTTATCATAAGCAAAGTTGGGCATGTGCCTAGAAAATCTAGCCCAAGGCCTGACTCGATCCAAGACAAGCCTGTTTGGTCACTAATCTCAAGTTCCAATTTTAAATGGGTGGGGTGAGAGAGAACTAGCTCCCATTATTTTACATTATAAACGCAAAAATTTAAAATTACTGATGGTGTTCTTTTAAACTTCTTTTTTTTTGTGCTTAAGTCTTTTAAATTTCATTTAATATTCTAATTCATTTAATTGATAAAAATCTATTTAATAATTATTATTTAAAAAATTAAATTATATTAAAATCATTGTAATATATAATGCCACCTCATAAATTTAAAAAAAAAAATCAATTAGTGTCATGTACTAAACCATACCAACTGTCATCAACTTATCTTACCTAGCTAAAGATGTTCTTCATGTATGATTGTCTAGAGGAGTCCACTAGTCTTACTAGATTTGGCACTTTTGGATATGATTGCTTAAAATAATACAAACAAAATATAGAGTTAAGAAGGTTTAGGTTTTGTATAACTATGTTTGTGTCATGATCGTATCAATCATTTATGACACAAAAATATATATGTATTGACTTAACTTGTATGTGATACATTTATGTACAATTAATTAATAATTAATTGTATAAAGATATCTAGTCCATTTAAACTCATTTATTAAATTATTAATATTTAAATTTAAATATATGAAATCTTTTTATTCTTGTTTAAATAAATTAATCCTATTTAAATGGGTCAACTGTGTGGAGTTTAAATAAGCTAATCATATTTGAACATATTAATTGTGTTATTGTGTAATCCATGTAATAAATGTATTGTATTAGTATTGATTTTGACACGTTTAATTTATCTTATCATGTTCGTATTAACAAATCTATTACGCTCTTACATTTAAATGACAAGTTTATAACTCCTTAGTATGAATTGCCAATCTGATTACTTATGTTTTGTAACAAAAAACAAATTAAAACAATAAAAAGAAAAAGGGGAAACCGTCCAAAATTGCTCTTAAACATGGATGAGGGCTTTATCAAGGATCTCTTGTTCTGAAGAGCCATGTCAAAGAGTCTGCCCTTTCAGAAAGAAAATGAAAACACTTAGAATTCTCTTTGGCAATTCATTTCAATATGTATCAAATTTTAACCAAAAAAATAAAAGAAACAAAATGTTGGGCAAAAAACTTGTTAGATTCCTGAAACAATTGTATTTTGACTTTAACACATCATTCTCCTATGACAGTGATAAGAGATATTTACTATTTTCAAGTAATGGAGAGAAATGAGGATTTCATTTTTTTTTTCTTTTTGGCTTTCTTTTCTAGGTGGAAGATAATATGTTCAAGAGTTTTTATTGTTTTGTACTTTGTTGAAGAGAGTTTCTTGAAGATGATTATTAGTTTTTAGATAAACTAACTAGATGAAGGCCAGTTGATGAATATTGATATGATAAAGATGAAGTACATGGTAAAAGTTTAATGCTTTCCACAAATTACGAGATTATAAATACTTAAAAACCCACTAACAATTCATTAGCAAATACCTCAAATCCACTCTTTAAAAATAGATTTTATTATTTAAACTCTATTTCAAAATAAAAAATTAAAAGTATCGACCCCCACGTCTACTTGACATATTAAAATTTTTCAAAGCCTAAAAATTAGTTTCTCAATTTAAAAGGAAAAATTATTTAAAACAAAAAGGATCTCACTCCACAATAGGCAAAAGGTAGTGTACAATAACAAGTAGGTAAAGTTCCAAAGCTAATTCTTTCCATACGTTATCAGTTTTGAAAGCATAACAAGTATTCCATTAAATAAGACTTGCACTCTGAAAAAAGACAACAAACGCCAACAATGTTGAGAATCTTGTTCTCAAATAATTTTGTTAACCATTCCGTCCATTTCCTCGGCCAAACCACTGTTACTGACATCAGATCTATCATTGCTGAGCGCATTGTACCCTCTGGGCACCACCATGCATGTCCTCATCTTCCTCATAAGCCTCTTGAGCCTGTGCCTGTTTCCTACGCATCTCTTCCTCAATGTTAACATCATGCAGAGTGGTTTCCTCGCACTCATCCAGCTCCATGTCAGTCAGCTGGACTGAGGTCCTTGGAGGTAGCACACCCTCTAGTGCCTTGCACTGGTCAGGGGTCAAGGAATCGGGGAAATCAACGGTGAAGTGAATGTAAAGTTTACCCCTCATGAATGGCCTTTGATACATTGGCATTCCTTCATCATTTATGGCCTTGAATTGATCTATAGTTACACAAGGAAGAAGCAGAGATCAATTTCAAATGCAGATAAAACAGCTTCTATCCATTGAAAGACACCAATTAGGGAGATCAAAATACCCACTAATATATAAAGAGGGTTCATTTAATGAACACCAATTAGAAAAATAAATAACTACCCACTAACACATGAAGAAGGTTCATTATCAATCAACAAAGTTCAACAGCTAATGATATAACATAAAAATAACAAATGGTGTACAATCATTTATCATAAAAAGAATGCTGCAGTTTAAGCAAGTTAGCAGTGATTCCCTACGTACCAGGCTTAACCACTTCCCCAGGTTGTGATTTAATGAGGAGTTGTCTGCCATCTAAGTGAGCCAATATAAACTGGAAGCCACATAGTGCCTCAGTAAGTGTCAATGTATGCTCTACAAACAAGTCATCTCCCTTTCTTTTAAATTTGGGATGTTCTTTCTGTTGTAGGACAAATACAATGTCTCCAGTGACTGTGTCAGGCTGCAAATGTTTAGCGAGCAACCAAGTGAGCCACAAGAAGAATTCAAGATTAGGCAATATAAAACAAAACTCCAATAACACCACAAATATTTAAATTCATTTTAGAGATAATTGGCCTTACTGCTTCGTCAGCTTCTCCTGGGAAAGTAATCCTCTGTCCGTTTTGCATACCCTTTTCAACAATAACTTCCAAGACTTTCTTCTCCTGCACAACCTTCTCACCCTTGCACTGTGGGCAGCGATCCTTGTCATTGATGGTCTCACCAGTTCCCTTACACTCATTGCAAGGATGCTGCATCTGTTGGATCATGGAAGGACCAAGGTGCCTGATGGAGACTTTCATTCCAGACCCTTGACAACCAGAACATTTCATTGATGCACCAGACTTAGATCCCTTACTGCAAAAATTTCATGCAAAACAACTACTGTAAACATAACATGCTCCAAAGAAACAAGCATTCTAACTGCTACCAGTGTCACAAACATTAATTGATTCAGATACAAACCCCTTGCACTTGAAGCAAATTATGTTGCGTGAAAGAGAAAGCTTTTTGGATGTTCCATTGTAGAGATCTTCCAAAGAAACCTTGAGGGGATGAATCACATCCTCTCCCCTTCTTTGTCTTCGGCCTCTGCTGCTTCCACCACCTGCACAGGCAACCAAGCTTTTAGCTCAGAGTGATCAAAATAACATTTCAATCACAAAAACAGAAACAGCAACCTCAAATTCATAGTCTTACCACCAAAAGGATTGCCACCAAAGAAGGATTGGAAGATGTCAAATGGGTCATGGCCACCACCACCTCCACCCATTCCTTCTTTAAGGGCGTCCTCGCCATACTGATCATAAATCTCACGCTTCTCCGGGTCACTCAGCACCTCATAAGCTTGAGCCAACTCTTTAAACTGAATTTCCAACACAACCATAATCAAACGAGTTACTTCTACATAGGTCAACAACATCCAAACCAACAAATTCGAAACCCCAAAAAATTTAAACCATTCTGTAACTAACAGGTCTTCAATTTTATCAATCTTTTAACCCATTTGATGGCCAACAACTTTATTTTATTTCTTTTTTATTCAAATCAAATTAAGAAGAAATCAAAAAATAATAATAACAACAAAATCAACGCATATGCTAAAAAATAACAGATCAGTCGATAATTCGCTCCGATCAACTAACAGAAACAACAAAACATGGAAATCCCAGTTGACCAAAACACCAAATCAATCCAAAACAGGAAACATGAAAAGAGAAGACTAACCTTTTCAGGGTCACCACCCTTATCAGGATGGTTCTTGATAGCAGCTTTTCTGTAAGCCTTCTTCAAATCATCTTGAGAGGCGTTTTTGGATACTCCCAATATCTCATAGTATTTGGTGTTATCGCTTTTCTTCGGTGCCCTCCCAAACATCTTTCTTCTCTTTTTATCTGATCAGATCCTGAAAGGAGGAGATAAAGAAGAAATTAATACCCAAAAAATAGATTCAAAAAAATTATTGAGAATTATAAAAAGGAGAACTAACAGATCCTGAATAGATATGAGAAGTTGCAGAGAGCCACAAGAGCGTACGCGAGACGGCGAGAGAAACAGAGCGAGAAAGAGAGAGAGAAGCGTGTGGTTAGAGATTGAGTTATAGGAGCGACAATGGACGGTCCAGATCCAAAGTTAAAGTACTTTGAACGGTGGCTGAAAGGTTGGTGCTTTTAGTTGCATTGGAAATATATTATGGAAGGATCTAGAATTCTCTACAATTCTCATCGATTGAGGCCCAACCTGGGCCGTTGATTTGTTTCATTTGTTGTTGAATGGAAAACAAAAGTGTGGGTGGCGGTGGGGGGAGTTTCTTGGCAAAGAATCCGAAAGAGAAGCTTATTCCTTTCTGTCATTTTCAACTACTCCTTTCTAAGAAACCTGATTTATATATTCCTATATTATTATTTTGTTTATAATTAAATAAATAAACTATGAGAACCTACTCCCCATAACGGGTTTGTAAAATTTTTTAAATAATTCTGAATGTCATAATAGTGTAAATAATTAGATTGTATCCATTTATAATTTAAAAGTGCAATAAGAAGAAGACAGAATGCCTATAATTATACACGAGAAGTTATTGTGAATTGGTCTTTGTTTACTAACTTTATAAAGACTTTGTATCCATTTATTAGTGGGAAGTAGAAGAAAGAAGCAATGAAGCACATCTGGTTGTTAATATTTCAAATATGTGTAGAAAAAATTCCATACAGATTTATGTCAAAAATGATTTATGAAGATGTATGTAGGAAGTAAATGAATTTTATTGATTTGTAGGGAAACTATGTCGTCTTTGGTTGGAAATATAGTATGCAAGCAAAGAAATACAATGGTTAACATTGTATAGATACATAAATCGTATCCATTACAATACATTGAAAGAGTGTTACCCAATATCTGAATGCGGTATAAAATCTATTTAGAGTGATAAATAAGTATGATGTTGTCCAAAAAACAGAGTACAGTAGCTGTCTACTATAGTATTTCTATGTTGTATAGTATATAAGAGAAACATAATTGCCACCTTGAGGTGTACAAACAACTAGTTCAGTGAAATCAATTTTAAAATCTCAAAATCAAAAAAAAAAAAAAACCAAAACCGAACTGAAGTAATGGTAACCAAAAAATCAAACATCGAACTACTTTGAGTAGTTCAGTTCGATTACTGAAAACCAAATTAGTGTAGATGGAGGAGAAAACTGCGAGAATGTAGCATATTTTTATTAAATCTCATGTTGAGATTTTTTAGTTGTTGAGATTTTTAATTGAATAATAAAGAATGAAAATTGAAGAATTTTGTTTTGTTTTTTTGAACTCAAAGCTCAATTGTAAATGTATACACACAATGTCCACTCTTAATATAATTGTTTCCTTTAATGAAGGCATTGTTAGTAGAAAATATGAAGTTAATGTTATATACTTTGATCTTAGACTTTCCATATGAAAAACAAATGCTTTAATTCTCTAATATAAGAAACCCCCCAAATTACCCCCATTATTTAAGGATTACTTACTTTGATTAGTTTGGTTACTTCGGTTGGGAAAATTTCAAATCGAAGATCAAACCGATTAAACCGTTTTAATCAAATTTAATGGATCGAAATAATTGAACCAAGAAAACCGAACACAATTCAATTCAATTTGGCTCTTCGATTTAGTTTGAATTTACGCACGCTTACTGTTAGCATTTGGGAAAGCTATTGAAAGTAATTGATTTTCTAAGAACCAACAACGAGGCACAAATATTCTCTTATATGAATAGGTAGCATGTTGTTTCAAAATTAGATCAAATTAAAAAATACACTACTCTTGCTTTAGACAACATTACCAACACATGACACCACGCAGTGTTCAACAAAAATTGAATGAGAGACATCTTATGTGATTCATCCATACACATAGTACTGCAATATAATAAAAATGATGTTTTATGAGAAAATTGTTATAAATATGCTAATAACAATGCATCATTAAGTAATATAGATATGCGCGTTAGGATGGGAACAATAATTAGCGTCAATAAAATTGAGGTTGTATAGTTGGTTTCTATCCTTTAATTGCATTTGTCTCTTATTTGTCCAGCATTGAAACAAATAAGAAGAATGATGTTGTAAATTGCAATTTAAGTTAGAATCAATTTTGACATGTGACACATCTTTTTGCAAGTAATGAATAATTATTTATCAAGTGTAAGGTAATAATTACCTAATCTTGAGTTTTTTGATGTGTGACTCTTGACAGGATGGAGGACAAATTTCTACACTAGTGTTGTTTGTCTAATGAATCCAAAAGCCACGGTTTCCTCAATCAACAACCAACAATGCCATCCATAAGAAAAAAATAATATGAGTTAAACACTTGACAAATTAATAATGACAATATATCAACGAAGATAATTCATATCATTTGCTGATAGTTTTCTCCCAAAATGTCTCATCAAAACAATGGTTGGTGCAGTCATAAATGGTTCAAATTTCTATGAAGGGAACATCGTTCCTGTTAGTAATTAAAAGAAGAAAGGGCCAAATTGAACTAAAATCAACTGTCATCTTCAACAGTTGTCATTTGTCGGCCAACTCTTTTTACAACGAGAATAATTTCTTCTCACAACTAATGGAGTATCATGACCTTGTCCTAAGCCATGACCGACACAAAAATCTGGTAGAGGTAATCCACCAAGCCCACATGAGCCTTATTATATTTCATGAACATTTAGTCCATCATTGGAACATGAATTACTATCACATAAGCCATACTTAACATCATAACCTCTTCACTTGTATACACAAAGCACTACATTGTGCAAACCATCTACCATTACTTAGAATCAACATTTCATTGACTTAATTATCATTTCTTATTCTGCCACCCTATAGCCACATTGCCCTACGCTAAGCATTTATATAAGGCACAACTTTGTACTATGACATGGACCATATACTCATACATGGACTATACCACTTATCTATTATTTACCAACATGTGGTTACATCACCATATGCTGGACATTACATCTATGTCTTATAACCCACTTATATTTATACATACAAGGCCCCATGGCTAATAACATAGCATAATTAAAAATTGACTATTATTGGAGTGACTTTGAGGTATAGAAGATACTGTCAAATGCCTTATTCTTTGAGCCTACTAATAACTCTATAATATAGAATTATTTGGGCTTAATTTTGATAATAATTTGACTTAATTCTTGTAGTAATGCATAGAAATTAGAAAATTATTTTAAATTAGTTATTTTAGATGAGTCAATCTAATCATAGTTAATTTTATGCTTAATTTGGTGTTAATATGGTTAAGATAGGTTGTTATTGATTTATTTGAGCTTTTGTAGGTGTTTGATGAAAGAAGAATTTTAGTAAAAGAAGGAGAGCAATTTCAAGGTGTAGACTTTCACTGCATATGCCTCAGTAGTTTGGCCATACCTCTCTCTAGAAGCTTCAAATGAAGCAGTTCTTCAATCATTTGAAAGGTACGGGATAAAGCTATAACTTTTATGTTTACCACTTCACCTAGTTTGGCATAGAAAGTAGTTAAAAATCTTGTTGAATTTGACATGCTGTAGTAGTTCTAAAGCAATTATGATTTTTGTTAATTAATTAGGTAAGGCTGCAACTCACATAGTCTGATGAGGAAATCCTAGCTGAAATTGACTTCTTTCTTCAACCAATTAGCCTAACTTCAAAGCCTATAAAAACAAACTTTCGAAAGACTTTTAAAGGAAGAGAACAAAGAAACACCAGACTAATAATTGAGAGTCAAGCCACAAGAGTCATTGAAACTAAGAAGAATTTGAAGGATTCAAGGAGATTTAGATATCAAGAATACAACTCTTGAGTTTTTCTATCTTTTCTTTTATTTTATTATTTTCTTAGTTTTGTTCTTAATGTTTAAACTTTATTCAATGATGATATGTGACTTGATAGTAAATTAAGTTTTTAATCTAATATTATGATTAAACTCATTATGTAGTCTAAATTATTTATCTCTCTTTTGATTATGTTTGTTAGATTTAGGTTGTTTATTTTATTCTGTTCTTAATGCTTCTAATTGCTTGATCATCAATTGGATTGAATTGGAAATCTATGTTAAACCTTAACAAAAGAGATTTAGGTAGACCTTGAATAAAATAGCGTATGATCGAATACACTTAGTTGATTAAGTGATTTGATTTGCATATAGGGTAGACATACACCTATAAACCATACATAGTCAAAATTAAAGCACTAACTTAATGAATCTTTCTTCAATATAATTTGCATAGACATATAGTAAATTAATTGGGAGAGATATTTTATAAAAAACTTAATAAAGATTTGTAAATAATTTAGGACCTTAAGTTAGCAAATTAATCTATTAATCTAAGTTAAGAGAGAGAGATAATAATCAAATGAAGTATTGAGGGACATCATAATCTTAAGTCTGGTAGTTAAATGAGTTTTATTTACAACATAATTTTAGTTTCAGTTTATTAGCTTTAATTTTTATTTTTTATTTGAATTGTTTGGATAAAATTAAGGTGTTATAATTTTAATAGATACCAGTAAAAGTTAAACAATTCTCTGTGGAAACGATACTCTATTCATTACTATATTATTTGTTAACGATACGTGCACTTATGTGAAAAATCAACAACACCTATGATAGAACGTACGTGGATCCCTCGCTCATCTATGTCTCATGTAGTACTGAATCTACAAAACATGAGAGTTTAAACAAATGTCATACAATTATGCAGTGAAGGATATAGAAGGGAACAAGCAATAGCTTTAGAAGTTTTATAAACCCTGCTCACTTTCTTGAAAATATGTACAATTTTCCTATACAAATTTGTGATGCATTTGGGTTCCACCCATAAAAATATACATACTCACCTATCAGTGTCAATCACAAGCTCTGGTATCTTACCAATGCTCGTAACTTATATACAAATTCAAACAATAAACTTTTAGGTGCCAAGAAAGTAAATGGGCAGACTTTGTAGGAGGGTTTTTAAATCTTACTTAGTCTATCTTGATGTCTCAATCTAATGTGCAGGATCTTAAGCATAAGTATCCATTTTAAAGTTGTCCAAGCCTTTCCTATATCAATCTTTTGCACTTACAACCTTAACTACCATTTACCTTTCTTG